ATCACTGAAAAACAATACCAAACACCCAGAAGTTAAAGGAGGAAAGGTTTATTATGGCTCATGGTTTGTAGAGGTTTTGGTCCATCCTTGACGGCTCCAAGGCAGGGCAGCGTGACAGAGTAGCATGGCAGAGAAGGGTTGCTCATGGCATGGCAAGAAACAGAGAAAGAGATCAAAGAAGGAGAGAGAGAGATAGATCCTTTAAGGCCAACACCATCTTTTTGGACCAGGTTTCACCTCCCAAATCACAATAAAATATAAACCCATCAGTGGACTACTCCACTGATGTGTATCACACTCCCGTGATCTGATCATCTAACCCAAAGCCCCACCTATGAGCACATGAGGCTTTGGAGGAACATTTAGATGTAAACTACAGTAATAGGGGAAGAAGGACTAAATAATGATGCTTCAATGCCACAAAGGTCTTATTTCTTAGAGCAGATAGTGGGCCTATGCATGTTCCCTTCATAATTATTCTTTAAATCTCTACATAATGACATATACTTTTTAATATCATGCACCACATTATAGGAGAAACTTTTTAATATAATGCAAAAACAATGGAAGCAAAGCAATAAAATCCTAGAAATGCAATTTGTAAGAAACAACAAAAACTCTCCATATTTTTAACCCAGGGAAAAAAGAAGCATTAATAAATGAAGATTAATGCAATATTACTGAGTAGAACCATTCATGGTTATACAAAGACATTCTTTGGCCCCCAAAGAAAGGAAAAATGCAACTGCAGTAAAAATTCAGATGGCATAGTTTTGAGATTTTGTTAAATTATTCTGAAGTTCTGGAAAAATAAATGAGTAGTCAAATCCCAGAAGACTTTCGAAAGAAGAATAATGAAAGAGAAGGCCTTGTTGTATTAAGTATTAAAACATGTCATCTCCATACAATAGAGATTGTCACAGCAAAGCTGCGGCTCAATGAAAGCCACACAACATATTGCCAGGAATAAAATAACTTGACATGTGATAAGATGGCTTTGAAATCACTGGGGACTATTCTGATTGGTCAATTAATTGTCCTAAGAAAATTGTGAGAAGTATATTCTACTGTGTACAATATGTGAAATAAATTTCAGATGGAGCACTGTGTTAGGTGTAAAAAGAAAGCACGGGAATGTTGTAAAATAAGTAATAAAATGATTCTCCATCTATATTGTCCATTCATCTGATCTGGAAAGAGGAAGAGAACTTGCTCTGAACTGGAAAGATCAGGTAAGGGAATGCTCATAGTTTTGAGATTCACCATCATAACCTCCATCGGATAGATTCTTCTCTACTTCCTTCAGACAGACGACCCCCACCTCCATCAGATGGACCGCATGAGAAATAAGTACAATGTGCATCTCTCCGTTCAGGTCGCTTTCCACTTTTAAATGATTAAAGCTTCTTAATTCTTTCCAAGTTATTGATGTCATTTGTCCTACACCCCACACTATACTACTAGATGGCTTCATCCTCACTTCTTAAGAAAATAGAGCCATTTGGGAAACCTGAACCCCTACCTCCAAAGCATCTGCCCATTTCCATTCTCTCCCATCTGTCATAGAAGGAAGGGGACCTTGATTCCAACCATTCCAATTCTTACCTTTTTAAAAGGGCCCTGCCAATATCAGTTAGCACTTCCCTTTCTCACCCTTCTACCTCTTCCTCCTAGTGTGGATTTTTTCTGGTTGCTTTAATCATGCCCTGACCTCCCACTGCCCCTCTGTATTAATTCTCTGAGTCTCAGTTCATCTTCGGGAGTGAGCACTGCTTTGGTTCCAAGCATCATGCCTGCTATTCTTGCATTTTCTTCCTCCTCATAGCCCACGTTTCTGACTTGTCTCACCTTATCTTCCATTCTCTTTCCAGCCTCTTCCAGGATGGCGTGTGATAACAGAGTAATTTCTAAAATTACTCTTGCCTGAGTCACAAATAGCCTTGAGGACACTGGGTAGTGGACAAAAATAAGCCTACCTCTTACTTGACTGTGCAGCCATATCTTTCACTCTTGACCAGTCTTTCAACAAACCTCTTTCCTGTCTTCCATGTACAGCTCGTCTTCCTCCTTTTCCTGTTGCCAGGAAAAGGTAATACCAATGCCTGAATACCAACTGAATACCAACTCCCAGTTTCTGCACTCCCTGAATACCAACTCCAAGTTTCTGCACTTATTTTCCTCCTTATTGTTAAGACTGGAATTCCTCTGAGCTGAGACCTGTCTTTCCCTCTCTGCTCTGTATTCCTCTTGTACTATCTATTCTCTTACCATGGTTTCAATTTCCAAGCCTTGGGACCCACTTTTATGTTCAACTTTTTTCACCCACCCCACAAGAATGTTCTACATATACCTCAAGTAAAATAGGACAAAAACTGAGCTCACTATCGTCCTCTCCAAATATGGTCTGCCCTTTATGAACAATAATCTGATCCTCCAGTTGTACGAAGCAAATGGCTGGGCTGATCCACGACCCATACCGCTCCTCCTTTGTCTTTACTCATCACCATCAAGTCCCATTGTTTTAATGTGACTAAAATCTCCTACACAGTCCATTTCTCTTTTACTCTCCCTCTCCCTAGACCACCTTTTCTCCAAAAAATGACTCTAGCAACTTCCCAACTGATTTTCCTCTTTCTACCCTTTCTACCCTTGACCTCAAAAAGCCACCACCCACACTCCAATGCTTCCTGCTTTTGCTCTGTAACAGCTACTTATCCATCAGCTCTAACTTATTTGCTCCTCGATATCCTGACTTGCCAGCTGGATTTTCTCTGCTTGATATTCTATTACTACTATATGCCTTCATCTCAGATTTATGATAGCAACTTTAATAAATTAATTGCAGCTATAACTATTTAATCTTTCTTCCCCAGAGCATAAGCTTTATCAAAAATGTGAGCACATCTCTCTTGTTATTGGTGCATCTATAATGTTCACCATAATCCTTCGAACATATTAAATGCTCAGAAAGTATTTGCAGTGAGGAAGAGTAAGAAAAGGAAGACCTACAATAAAAGTTTTAATGAATTAAAAGCACTTACCTACATAAATGATTTTGAAACAAAAGCCAGAAGAAACAATTTGTAAACTATTCACAAAGAAAACTGAAGTCCTTACAGAAAGATTATAATTACAAGCCCATAAGACAAAGATGAGCAAAAATACAGAGCCATACGGGAAAATGAGCACAGGGTGGAGAGAGCATCTTCCTAAAAGAATCAATGCAAATGGCTAATTAAACTGAAAAAAAAGTCTGTGCTCTCCAGTAGGCTAAAAACGATACACACATGCACTTAATTTTTTAAATAGTGTTGGCAGAGATCAGAACTAAGCATATTCTTTTGTTGGAGAGTCCAGATTTGTACCAGCTTTCTAGAAGGCAATCTGGTATTACATGTCAAAAATCTTAAAAATAAAATAGTGTGTCTCATATGGCCTAGTAAATTAATTTCCATGGATTTATATTCAAGACATCATTACATTTGCATGAAAATATTTATAAGAATTCTCCTTCCAGTGTTCCCGATAATCATGAAGCATTCAAACCAGCTTTGTGTCCACTAATAAAGGATTGATGACTATGAGTATAATGGGGGCATCCTTCTCTAGCAGCTATTATAATACATGGTCCCAAAGAATGCTTAAACATTTTTAAGACTATGACTTGTTCAGTGATGAAAGAAGGTCACAGCACAATATATACAGTAGAGTTTACATTTTTAAAGAATTAAAAATACATATGCATAGACATCTTTTATATTTTTTATGAATAAAAAATTTATGTATGGATAAAAATGCTGCAACAAAAATACCTTTGCCTGTGGGTATTATGAATGATTTTGTTTTTCCTCTTTTTAATATCCTTAATATTCTCCAAATTGTGTGTATTGTACCTATAATGAAAAAAAAGAGCTAAATGTATTTTAATTTAACAATGGGGAACTGATTGCAACATATGGCCAAGGCTTTATATAGAGAAGCATAGCATAATGATTAAGAGTATATGCTTTGAAGCTCCTAGACAGGTGTTCAGTTCCCTCTTTGCAATTTAAGAGCCATCTGACCTTGAACAAGTTATTTAATTCTCTCAGTCTCAGTTCCCTTATCACCACAAAGGAGATAATACATACTGGGCAGAACTCTTTTGTGGCTTAAGTGAAATAATGTATGTAAAATTCTGATCAAAGAGTAAGTGCTTAATAAAAGTACCTGCTTTTATAGTACTGAAATATAAATAGATCTGGTACCGATTTACATGAATTCATGATTCCCTAGAGGTGTATAACTGAAAGTGTGGAGAATCATTTAGCTTCTGGTTTAGCACCTTCCAGTCTGTTATAAGGATGGTGGAACCCGGCAGGAAGAGGGTGATAGGAAGATGGCCCGTTAGAGCAGCAGCACCAGGAGTAGTTGTGCTCATTAGGGCAAAATGCTGGCGTAAGTCATTCATCCAATACCATGCCAGTATTGGAGACTCAGCGGCAAGATAAGGTAGCTGCCTTCTTCAAGCAAGACAGGCTTCTAAATACATTGAAATTTCAAGGCACAGGGTTCCTGGAGGACTCAGAAATTAGGAAACTACAGTTGGAGAGAACTTGGCATTGTTAGAAAAATAAGAATCGGAAACATGATGGTGAAGCCCAACCTGCATTTCTCAAACACCAGTTCTAAATCCTAAGCCCACATTCCCATTTGGTAGCAAGACTGGGGCCTAAAGAGGAGCCAACCAATTATGGCCTACAGTTGAATCTGGCACATTGCATATATTTAGGAATATTTTTTGAGGACAGAGATACCCCACTCATTTATGTATTTTTGTAGTAAATTTTGTGCTAAAAAGGCAGAGTTGAATAGTTGCAACAGAGACAGCATGGCTCATAAATCCTAAAATGTTTACATCTGATTCTTTAGAGAAATTGTGCAAACTTATATTCTAGACCAATGGGACTAGAGAAGTGACATGGATGATAATATCAAGTTCACACTTTTCCTTTCTGTAGTTCCAGGAGCTGTTCCTCTTGAATCCATCCAAGGGGGACCTTTTGAAGAGAAGATCTACATCCAGTGGAAGCCTCCCAATGAAACCAACGGTGTTATCACACTTTATGAGGTAAGGAAATCCCTTGGGCTGCTTCAAATGGCTCAGCTACATTCAATTCTCTGGGGAGTTAAGTAGGCACATACTATTCCACTGAGGATATAAAGATGAGGGAGATACAACTTGCCAAAAGTTTTTGTTATGGCAAAATTCGGGCTGTATTCTGCAAGAGACCAAAAAACTCTATGAGAACAGACAGAGTTTTAGTTTAGACCAGTCACCTCTCATCCTGACTTGCAAGTCAGGGAAGTGGGTGAGTGGGGCCTGCCTTTGTCCCACCTTATATATTTTTGGTTTCCATGGTAACAGATTGGAATGTTGTAGCCCTGGCCACATGTTGTTTTCCTTGTGCCACGTGACCAGGTCAGGCTTTGGTCATGAGCCCAACCACGATGATGTATACTTTCTGTACTGTGTTTTATATGTCCCCCTTTAGGTAACCATACACTTTCTTTATAGTTACAGTGTTTATCTAGGGCCAGGGAAGGGATGAAACAACCCAGGCAGGGCTACAAGTGGTTATCTGGGCCTGGGTGTTCTTTGTCTTTAGAGAAACATTCCAGGGCTAAGCCAGGACTGCAAAGTTAATGTTTTACAACCCCTCCGGGATGTTTCTCAAGACACATTTTAAGGCTTGCATTAAGACTGGAATTATTGTATCTTAAAATGATATGCTAAGAGTTGCCATCCCCTACATTTTCTGACAATACACTGGGAAGAACATACCAGAGCACACACCTGAACTATCTTGATAGCCTCCAAGACATACAAGTCTGAATACACAGTAAGCATTGAAGTGATTGTGTGACAAATTGGTCCTTTAGGCAAAGGAATTAAATTGTCTCCTGTAGAAGAGAGACCCAGATCTGGTAAACAATAATTGAAATTCATCTGGAAAACCATAATACTCACATGGAACCTCAATACTCCGATGGTGTTCACTGTACCTGCATCAGTCCTTGGGCTTGGAAAAGAATCCCAACATTATTCTCTACCTCAGGGTTACAGGATTCTTGAGCTCTAAATTTCTATGTGCCCTAAGCATATTGTGTTATTAGCCAAGAAATAGTGTCCAAATCCTGCACCATGCTTTAGCTTTACATTGAGATAGAAGAGAGTCTACTCAGATAGAAATATACTCACTAAACCAACACAATATGCTTCCTAAAAACTTGTAAAATTAAAGCTGTATAGAAATCCATTGCAAACCAGAATGAAAAATCTTCAAAAACAGTGAATAGCAAGAATTTAAGTACTAGATGCAGAGAAGACTGGCTTTCTTCACACTCACTGTGTTCTAACACACCATGAGATTGCAATACTGGATAAAACAGACCAAAGCAAATGAAAGGGTATGGGTACTGATGCTGGAAAGATACAGTCCAGGATCCTAGTAGCTCTACCGTGGTCTCACATTACCTTTGGCAGGATTCTCCTTTCTCCCTGCATGTTTCCTCATCTGTAGAATGAAGATGAGAGTCACAGCTTCAAGGTCACTCTGGCAAGTCTGGAGAAGGAAAAGGCACAAGTTTTTCCAGGATGAAACATGTGCTACAGGTCCACAGAGAGACTTTACCCACCAGGCTCACACAGAAACATCCATCTGTAGGGAGTGGGCTTGGGAGGAATATCAAGGAGAATTTGATGAAAGACAAAGATTCAGGATCAGTGTGGTGAACCCATAAGCTTGACGGAGACATAGATGGTCCCTAGTGCTCTCTGAAGCAGGATATTATCCAGTCCATCTCCCTGAATCTAACAGCTCTCAGAAAAGCTATGTAATATCTTCAGTTTAGAAACTACAGAGTACTTGATAAAGGAGGGAAAGACAAATCTGTTCCCATCATTTGTGGGCCCTCCTGGCCCGCAAGAAGAAGCTCGCTTCCTGGTTTGTTATACCAGGAGGTACACATAGGATGTGGTCAAGGCCTTGCAGGAAAGCGTGGGCCTGAAAATTTAACTGAATCAAAATCCACTCATTCCAAAGCTACATGATATTGTCTGTAAAGTCAAGACTACAATCACATGGATACACACACCCATAAGAGATTTGTTGTATATAGTAAGTTGCTGGTTGTCTGGCAGAAGGAAAGGACCCATGACTTCAGGAGTGATAGTAATGTTATGGAAGAATCTTAGCGCCACCAGTACAATGATTTTGGAATCTATCACTCAGCAACATTTCCAAGATTTAGGGGACCTTTCAATTTTTATTAACATTTCATAAAAGATCCAATTCCAAAAAATATAGGAAGGATATAATTTCAGAATAAAATGCAACCTTTCAAATTAAGTAATTTTAGCCTCATGAACAATCATGCCAATTGCCTTTGTTTTCATTTTGCCTTGGAAAAATGATAATTTAGTCCTTTGGATACCCACATGTGGAAAGCACTGGGCTGGGCCATGGAGTAGGTGGGGTCATCTGGGTCATCTGTCTGCAAAGACTTCTTCCTTGAGAGTAAGATGCTTCTCTCATGCCTTGGACTGGACTAGCCACACCATGCTACTATTCCATGATAAGAAAAAAGAAATAGATGGAAAGAGAAAAATGCAAACCCAACTGCAGGTTAGACGCTCTGTTTGAGCAATAGCTCTTGAACTGGAAGCATCAGTATGTGGGACCCTTTCTGGAGCTCTGGGTACCAAGGTGGGAAACAACTGAAGGGACACCAGCCTAGTGCTTTGTGCATTTTCAAATCTTGTTGCCAGGGATGTAGGCATTTCCTTGAGGGACTCTACTGGAGACAGCTATGGTAAAATCTTGAAGTAGCTTCTTGGCTGCTCCTTTGGCTGTGAGTACAGGGAACGAGAGCCAGAAAATTGCAGCTGGCTTTTTTTGGTGAGAGTTTGAGCCAATCCTTTTGGGAGTGCACCAGAATGCTTGGGCATGCTCTGAAGAAAGCAATGAGTTTGTGGACTTCACTATTAGATTTTGTGCATAGACATGACTGTGATCATGTGCATAATGTGAGACCCAAGAAACTAAAAATGTTGACGTTTTGAGATCAGGCAGACTAAGTCTGAGTCCCAGCTCTGAAAATTACCTGCTGTGTGACTTTTAGTACTTCAAGCAACCTCTTGAAACCTTCAGCTCTTCATCTGGAAGATGAGGATAATAATAACACTAACATTGTAGGGTTGCTGTGAGGATCACATTAACCTTCTGTTTAGCTCAGTGTTTGGCATTTAGAAGTAACATTGTAAATTTTAGCTGTTATCATCACATAAAGATTGAGGAGGTTGGGGGCAGAAATGTGAAGTGAAAACGTCACCCAGGCAGGATGCAAATGCCTGTCTCCTGAATTCAGGTGCTGCATCCCTGGATATAAGTCTGCATTGCACTGGCGTGGTTAGAAATGCAGCATCCCACACCTCACCCAGTCTTCCCAAATCAGAACTTTCATTTTTAACAAAATTCCCGGGTGATTTGTATGGGCATTAAATATTGAAGAGGACTCCTGTAGAAAGCTTTTACCAATAGACAGAAGAATATTTTCTCCCAAGCAGAGAGATGGTAAATTGTCTCCAAGCTGAGCTCAAACCAGTCTTGCTGCAGATTATAAGGAGGAGACTTTACTTTTAAAAGCATTTATAACAAAATATGTGTTTATGAGGCAATTTCCAAACTTAATTAGATGAAACCAATTTGATTTTTAAAATTAGGTTCTAGTTGTAATTTCAAGAGAGAAATCTATAAATTACAAATGGAAGAGACATCTAAAACTGTCTATGCCCTCTTATGTACAGTCTTGTACTTGGCAAAGTCAAAAGCAAAGAAAAGAAATAAAAAATAAAGAAGAGGAGGGAAGGGGAGTTTCATTACTGGAACTGTGTAAATATTTTACACCCAGCACATGCATGCAATATATTTGCTTGCCTGTGAATCCAATTCACAGCCTCTGGATTTATCATTGGACAATTGCCACCTCTCCCCAATGTGAATGGCTTTGACTAAGTCACATTCTGTCTTTGGCCTGGAGTTCCCTTTTCATGAGGTGTCAGACAGTTCTAGGCTCCAATTGGATAAGAAAAGAGGAATAAATACATCCTTGTCAAACCCACAGAAGCAAAGGTTATACCTCATTATGGAGGTGCTTTGTATTTAAACCTTTCCTTTTCTTCAAGGCTAAAGCAGTGATGACACCTGAAGAAAACCAGCTAATTGAAAAGCCCTAGAATGGCAATAACTTCAATATGTTTGAAAATAGGAAGCCAGAGTTACCAGAGCTTCATGAGCACAGAGGACAGCAATGAGCTCATGTGGAGGAGTGAATGGGCAGGGGCAGGGTATGAGGGCTCCTGAAGTTTTCATTTTATCCTGAGAAGAAAGGAAAACCCTAGGAGGGTTTAAAGCAGAGAAATGAAGGAATCAGATTTATATTCTTAAAAGATCACCTGGCTGTTGTGTACATAATATTTTGGGTATACCTGGATTGTGTCAAGAGGCAAGAATATTTTTCTTATCTATCATACTGCAGTGAAAGCTCAGCTCTTTCTTGGAAGACCTTGTACGCTGGTAGAAGATGTCAAAGCTTTGTCGCAGCTGCCTTTTGCTGCTGTGAAGTGGGCTTTGATACTGTGTTAGCTTTCTATCACTGTGACAAACTATCCGAGAGAAAAAACTGAAAGAAGAAAATATTTTCCTGGGCTCATAGCTTCAGAGGTTTCAGTCCATGGTTACTTGGCCCACGCACTTTGGGCCTGTGATGAAGGTGAAGCAGCATGGTATAATAGAGAACGTGGCATGGAGCAAAACTGCTCACCTCATGTGGTGTGGAAGGGGAGAGAAAGGGGGGAGGGGAAGAGAGAGAGAGAGAGAGAGCGCATACCAGGGTCCCAGTGTCCCTTACAAGAGCACATCCCTAATGACCTCACTTTCTTCCACTAGGTTCCGCCTCCAAAAATTTCCCCCCACTTCTCAATAGCGTCATTCTGGGGAACAAGTCTCTAACATATGAGCCTTTGGGGGCCATTTAAGATCCAAACCATAGCAACATTTTCCACTCAGT